AAGTTCGTGGGGAATAACATTTGGATCTTGGTAGTAGCTATCGGGGTGGTCCTCTTAAAGAAGATCAGATGATTCCTTGTCCTTGTGTATTACTCGAGGCTTATCATCGTTAGGCATCCGAGGCATCCTCGACTGGGGATAAGTAAAGATAGTATTCGCGCCGCCTTGATAATGCGGAACTAGCGGCAGCACGCTCATAGTGCTAATAGGTTTATGATTCCAAATAGCATCCGGTGTAGGTTTGGTTGCCTTACCCGCAGCATTTATTCGGACAATGCTGGGCTTGGCGCCGCCTCCACCAGCATCGCTGGGGCGAATCTGAAGCTTCGCATATTGGCAATTGGCTATCATGTGAAATGTCAATGGTACTAGGTCATCAAAGCTATATAGGTTGATCTCAGATGAAAAATGAACCGGGTGCCTATTATTATTTTTGGTTCTGTAAGGCAGCAATGGGGCGTTGGTCTCGTCGACAATCCTAAATCCAATATTACATGAATACCGCTCTGACATGCTAATAGTGCATATGATTAATCCTAAACCCCCAACCTTCACCCACAATCCGGTGTCATGCCATTCGTCATTTACGTAATCCTTTTCCTCCAGGTAATGAAGAAACCAATCTTCCTTCGTGTGTGGATTCATATATTACAGGGAACAAGTCCCCTTCTAAAGACTAAGCACCGTAAGAGTGCTAATGGTCGCGTGATTATAAGGCTGATCTCGTTGGTCCTCTATGCTATTTATTGTGACCTTTCCTGTATCGTCTACTCTTATTTGCAGCTTTACCTTCCCATGGCAATCAGCAACCATATGAAACGTGCAAACCGTAAGATTTTGAACGCTGCCGGGGTATGGCTCTGCGGAGAAATGTACGGGCTCTCTGTTGTTCGTCTTCACACGCATAGGCTGCAATACGCCATTCTCATCCAGAAACCTGAAGCCAACGTTGGCGTGACCAGTCGTGCCAATGCAAATGCTGCACATTATCAACTTCTTCCCAGAGTAGTTCAAATCCACGGACATCCCCATGACGTCCACCCAAGATGCCTGGTTGTATTTTTTCTCACCTGTGTAAGACGTGTAAACGCAATCTACTCCAGCTGCGTAGGGGCTGTTCATCGCCATATATAATAACTCAGACCGATGCTTGCAGCTGCTAGGCCGGCTTTTAGTAAATTATGGTCATATTCCTCAGGTATTGTGGGCAAAACCTTCTTTGATGGTTTCTTAACTGCGGGTAGCTTCGTTTCGTGTGACTTTTTTGGCTCCTCTACGAAGTGAGGAATGCCCTTGGTAGTATCAGAGTTCACGTCATTCACCCCAAACTTCATATCCTTAGTAGCTCGCTGCAGCTTGTTGTTATAACCCACAACGGAATTAGTTTTGATGACTAAATTACTTGGCATTAACCAACAACCAGGACTCAACGCGTAATCCAGCCGCACTTTAGATTGCTGCACCGCAAGTTGATACCTTTGAACTGACTTAGAGATCTCATTCTCGATAACAGCGCTTTCGAAGAGAACAAGGAATACTTGTTGCGTTTCCTGCGACGCACCACTGGCATCTACGATGGGGCTGCGAGTGCTAACCTGNTCCTTGGGGATCACATACTATAGTATCCCACGGAATGAGTTTTCCAGAGCCTAGATTAAAAGCTTTCCAAACACGAAGGCCAGTAGAAGTGAACTCAAAACTGTGATAAGAAGAATAGTTGGGAATCTTATTAATTTGCAGGGATAGATTCTGTTCTTGTACAATACAAACAGCAGCCGTCGTACCTCCCACTGGTCTTTCCTTTAACGCATTATGCATGTCCTCAGCACAGATAATGTCATGGCCCTCGTTGCAAAATCGTCTGATAGCAGCTTTCATCGGACACAGGATTCGATCACAAATATYTTTTCCAAATTGCGGCTCTGAGTGTTCGTACCTAACAATCTGAATGCTATGTCGTTTTCCTCGTTGTTGAAGAGATGCAATCAGTTGACTGTTATGATAGCAGCCCGCTTCATCAGATCTGAGATAAGCTTTGGTGATGCCTGCGTTATTGGTCTTTATGATTGAAAGTAAGTTTTCTAAGACAGACAGAACAGCATACCAATCCTGCTTACAGTTGTCAAATAAGTGGGCATAAGAAGTTACCTGTAGCTTCTGGCCTTCTTTGAAGATGACACTGTTGATATGCCAATTCATTCCCCTTTTCCCATACCATTCTGCTTGCTTCTCTCTGAACTTCATCGCAGTAAATTTCATCGCCCAATCAACAATAATAAGAACCTCCTCCTCTCCAAGAGACTTCAAGACGCCATGCTTGCTACTTTTTTGATTTTGAGCACGAATAACATGCGCTTTCCAGTCAAAAATCTTTTTCGAGGCGGCGTTTGCATCGAACTGCAGGTCTTCCTTCTTTTCTTTGCCGAGTGCTGACGAATAGTTTCGAATTTCCGACTGAACATCTTGGATGGTATCTGCCAGTGACTGGCAATCAGTGCACTCGACGTTGTGTCTGTGACCACACTCAGTTCTAAAATCCTTGTCATCAGGGTCACTCAGATCGAACGCTATGCAGTGATCGGGGCACTGACAATTTTCCTCTTGGCAGTGGTTACGATAAGTTGTCTTCAGATATAATTTTCCTGCATTAAGCTTCTTTTTGGTTTGTGAACACCAGACGTCACTGGCACCAGCCTATTCCAAGTCATCTATAATCTTCAGTAGCTCTTCGAATCCGTCTGCACCATCTGCTGCGGTATTATCTTGGCCTTGCAGGGATTTCCTCTGTGTAGCTTTCTGGACTTCTAATACTCTCCACATCGTCGGTCGACTCATTGGTTCAAACTCCGTTTCTTTACAAAATTCTAAATACTGATGGATAATAGTGCTTCGAGCTACAGTACGAACGATGTTTGGCATTGGCAATTCTTCTCCGTTTTCGAGCTTGATTGTGCGGTTGCCATATGAAACATCTTGGTAAAAATAAGGCCGAAACGTAAACTCAAGAAAATGATCTAGCTTTGCTTTGTCTATTCGAACCCTGTGTTGTAATTTTTTTAACGCGGRGGTTCCAGGTCCTTGAGCTGCCGAATGCTGTCTGGCCTTTTTTATCTGTCTGTCACTTAGCCGTTCAAATGGCTCATGGCCTTCAGTTCCCTTGCAGAATATCTGCTGACGTAAATACTGAGTATTTGCGTCTTGAGTGGTTTAGATGGCGCGTTCTTATAAGCTGCTACGAGAGCCTGCAAGCCCACGTCGTTATCATTGCAGCATCGATTTTCCTGAAAAGCTTTAAGAAGGTGATTACTATCATTCGGTGCTATAGCAAGGCATATCAATCCGCAGGCATCTTCGGTTGTTTGTAAATACATTTCTTTTTCTGAATTGGTACATCTATCCCAAGAGACAACTTGAGAGCTCAAGAGCTGCATTCTCGGTTTATTGATAGCATCAGCAAGTTGTGCCATTGAGCTGTTGAATACCTCTAATGCGTGTTCACTGTTATCTTCACAGYTCAGTTGTAATTGTGGCCCTGGTGTCCATGGGTCATCTGTGCAGCTTTGCGCTTTCTTAACTTATGGAGTAAGAAATGGGGAGTCAGCACACAATGCCTCCAAGGAAGCTGCCGCCGTTACTTTGGACGACCTTAGAATTATTAAAAAGATAGCCGTCTCAGTATTGTATATATTGATCAGGACAGGGTTGTTATGCATAAAATCAAAAGCAAATGCGAATGTTTTATCACGGTTCCAAACACCGATAAGCTGATGATAGCACGAGGCCGTAGGTTTTTCATTTATTTATTCATTATTCACCTGCTTTCAAACAGAGTTCTTSTTTACTTCCGATCAAAATAAGAAATTGNACACGGGATGCGGGTAATCGCGGTACGAATCGAGGAATTCACTTTAGACGGGTAATCCTCCGATGGTCATTGCGCTGGAACCCCCATCCCCTATACTACTCTCTTTAGTGACTTTGACTTCAAGAAGACCGAAAGGCATGTCATGTTGTTCCTCTACATGCATGTCATACACCTTTCGGTCTGGGGTACATCCAAGCCAGGGGCATGCAGGGTTTATGACCAGTCCTGATGGATACAAATTCACTTTTCCATCCTTAGCAGTGCTTGCATATGATGAGGCAGCAGTGGCCTCCATGTCTATACCACGCTGCATATCTGCAGTCACAACCCTTCTCGAAGGATKCATTTGTTTTACAAGATTTTCAAAACCTGACAATCGTTTTGCTAAAAGTCCAAACTTACTTGCAGTTATGCGTTTCTCTCTCAAAGAGAACCAAAGTTGACTATCARATTGTGATAGAGTTGCATTCTCCAGCTCAACAGCTTTATCATGAGATATGATGAGAGAATCTAAGCTTGCCTGTTTCTCTTGTGGTAAACAGATGCTGACTTTGTTTTTAATCCTATCTACAGCGCTCTCCAAAGGCAATGCTGGAAAYTCTGTGCATGAAAAGTCATTAATTACATACTCTTGAGAGAGCTTTTGTTGATATGCAAGAACTGAATTTCTAGGGACATTTCCAAATTTAGATGGTACCATTTCAAGATGTTGCATATCTTCTCTCTTTGGTGCCTGGGTGAACATCAGTGGCTGAGGATCTAGGTTCATTAACATGTTCCAACAAGAGTGATGGCGATCTCAACTACACAAGCACAAGAGGTAGTTTGTTGGGACTTAAAATGGCTTAAACTCGGCGATGTTTAGCAAAACCATAGTTAAGAGTCCGAAAATAAACTCGTATGATATAGTAGTAAGTATTTCCCAACACTCAGTCAGTGCATGCGCACCTGAAAAACTGACAAGATTATTAAGGTAAGAGACCCATTAGTGCTACATAGATGGCTGACATTTTGGTTCCCAAGAGTGGAGGGGGAGGGGGGAGGGAAGGAGGGGCGGAGCTAGGGGTGTGCACAAGGCGCCAAAACAGGAATTGACCTTTCACTTGCAAAGTATTGCAGTGTGAAATTCTGACCACCTAAGCAAGCTCATGTTAGGGGGGATGTGTGGGGGGTGGGTTACCTTTTCATAAAACAGGTTAGAATGCTGCAGGGTTTGCCCAAGGATGGCTAGTGAAAATAGCTGAATTGTGCTTTGCTGTGCTGCACGGTTTGCCCAAGGATGGCTAGTGAAAATAGCTGAATTGTGCTTTGCTGTTATGCTGCAGGGTTTGCCCAAGGATGGCTAGTGAAAATATCTGAATTGTGCTTTGCTGTGCTGCACGGTTTGCCCAAGGATGTCACGAGCACTCCACTCTTTAATGCTTCTATGAGTAGAAACCGCTATCT